GAATAAAATCATACTCTTAATATTATTTAAGTAAAAGCATGCATAGTGCGGTTAAATCCAATTAACTGAGGATGATATGACCTACATTGTAGCTGAGATTTACAACCCCTGGCCCTGGTCCAACCCTGTACGTTGGAGCATCTTTGCTTCCTTGCCAATCGTCGTTAGCCAGCCGTCCACCGAGCGAACTTATGATCGTCTCGCCATCTGCTCCTGATATTGGAAGCGAAGGTATTGATGGAACGACTCCCAACTTCTCCGCTTCCTCATAAGCTCTCCTCTCGCAACCCTCAGTACTCGGCCATCCAGGAGTTGTAGGGTCACCAGCCTCACTGTAAACAGAACCAACCTGAACTCCTGTTGGTGGCATCCATTTTGCATCTGGAAACCACCCTGCATCCTTTCCGCCACCTCCATAGTCTTTCCTATCTGTATATATGAGAGTTCCTATAGCACCTGCTGCATATGCGTTATCCACAATATCCCCTCTGAAAATCTTCCCATATCTTGCCAATACGATCGTCCCAGAAACTTTGACCCCCATCTCTTTCAACATTGCAAAGTCCTCCACACGTCCATAGTTTGCATAAGTCACAGGTGCCTCAACGGTCCCTGTCTTGCCAAACCCATGAAATGTCATCATAACCTCGTTTGCAACATCTGCATAGACATCGCCATTGTAGATCTCCTGGCGGAGGTCAAACACAATTGGTGGATGACCTGGTTCAGGGGTGAGTGTCAAGGAACGTGAGGCAGGGTATGTCAAGGCCACATCATAGGACACTGTGTGGGACTTTATCTTGTTTGAGGTTAGTATAGACTTGACATACTCTGCCGTCTCGGTGTTGGCTTCTGTGCCAGCAACGTGAGGGCGGCGGGTAAGCATGTAAAGGTTGTGAGCTATGGAGGCATTGTTAGCGAGGGAGTTTGATAGGAAGAGAGAGTGATAGTGGGACTTTGGACTGAAACAGGAGGATAAAGATGTGGTTAAGGCAAAGAACACATAGAAGATGGCTGCTCTGATCATGGTGTTTAGCTCAGGAATGTGCTTGGAGATGGATGTTTGGTTTTGCTGTAGTGCGACTTCTCATTTACCATAAGTTGCTGTATATAGTTGGACGATGAAATGTCAATGAAAACCAGGGAAGACTGGCGGAGTGATAGTCTGAGGGTGGGGGAGGGTGGAAGAAAGATTGTTTTGGCTGCCTCTTCAATAATGGCGGCTTGTGGTAACAAGTGTCTGACTTTGTACCGGAAGTAAAATACTTGTAATATTTAATTACTATTTAAGTCCACTCAATCTGAACAAGATCTAAGCGATCTTTATATCCAAAAATCATATTACAGTATAACGTGAAACCCATAATATAATGGGTTTCGGTTGTCTCTCTTATATTTGTATATATTCTTATCTGTTTAATCTTTGTGTTGACTTCTCTGTCTTCAAGCGGGTGACTCGAGAATAATCTTCTGGATACTGATTAAAAAAAAAACCAAGACCAGACTGTAGATGATTGATAACGAGATTTGGCTGCTTATCTTCTTCCGTGCATTAATTTTCCTGACTGTCCATATTCAACAGCATCTTCTTTACGTTACTTGTTTATGGCCTAGTAGCTGAATCGTTGAATAGCAGGATAGCATGCAAGTGCACAGCAGACAATCTTGCAGATATATCGTAATTAATGCCCTGTTTGCTGAACTATACGCAACTTGCTTCTTTTCCTAGTTGACAAAGTCAAATAAACATAGCCATAAATCTCAAGCATGAAACATATGCTAAAGCATATTGTGTCATTATTCATTGCTTCAGGGGAAGCATAATGGGTGCCCTTAGCCGCTTGTTAAGGTGGATTTACTCGACTATATTATCGTTTAATTTGATAAAAGTTGATTATTGCTCTAAACACTTCTCTGGTGTTCCTAGTAGATGCAGTACTAGATGAGATTTGATCATGATTAAATAATTCGGGTTTATCCATTTATAACCGGAGAACTCAATCTGCTTATTTGCTGAATTGGGATTCAAAGTTACTACTTACCAGAATGCAAAAAAAGATAAAATGCAGGATTATGTACATGAAGTACTCCCTGTAAAAGCTGTGAATGTTTGACTTTATTAATGTACAGTGTCCAGTCATTGATTTGTAGAGCTAGTGAACTGAGTCTAAACAGCATATTATCAGTGACTGATTAACTTATGTTCATAGTAGATGTAGCTGCAAACTTTCTTTGGTAGCTCTTTGAGGTGGTTAGTTCCTGCTTCGGGTACTCTCTTCTTCCCATGGAGCTCCTTGATTTATTTCTTAAACAAGCTTCAGGCACTGTATGCAGTTCCCTTATGCATTTCCCTCCTCCAATCCACTGGTGGGAAAATTTGTGCCTTTGTATTCCTTCTAAGTTGTTTCAAGTTTATAAGGCCAAAATTTGTTCTCGTTTGTTTATCGGCATCTAGCAATATTCAATGTTTCTGTTTTTATTCTATCACTTTGTCGAGAAGTAATTGTTTCAATTTTAGTTTCACCCCAGTGAACAAAAATAAGAATCCATATCTATAGGCAATACATGTTTTCATCAGCCATTGTCTCGGTTGGCAATTTGTATTATTGGTGATTTTGATTCTCACAGAGTAGGGTTAATGCATCTTAACGAAGGGATCTGAAGCTAATTCTATTCATATTTTACACAGGAGTCTTCCTGAAAGTTATTGGTTGAACGGTTGTACCATTCTTGCAAAGGAGCTTACAAAGTACATTCGTTGAGGTGGAGCTGAAAACTGCTGATTCAGAGGCATTTAATGCGGATTATGATGGTTTCTACCCACAAAAAACAATTCCCTGTAAGTCCTGCCTTTTACTGAACTTTTTCATGTCAGTTCACCACTAAGGACCTTAGTGACTCGATTAATGAATTTGGCCACTCTTCGAACTTCATGCCTTCCATGATTGTTCAGTATTCATACTCTTTGCCTGCTCTATTGCATCATCAATTCCTGGGAAGTACTTTGTTCCACACACATTATGCTTGGCAGATGCATATATCTGTCCCATAGAATGTTATTCCATCATTCACTTGGACCGTTAGAACTTGCAATCGTTTGTAGAATGCCAACATGGTCTGAACTTCTTACTTTAAGCTATGTTGACGGTGTAGTGGGAAATGGTGTCGAAATATGTAGGCAGAATAATATCGATCAGAAAATGGTAGCATACCATATGGTTATACCATGGTCTTGCAGACGTCCCTCTCGGTCAAGAAATGCTCGCTCAGCCATCATTAGCCTGTCATTGATCTCCCTCAGTCTAGTGAAGTCTGTCTTCACAATTGATGCCCATCTTCTGGTTTCTTCGATCACCTATAGATGCCAGCATACCTTGTTAGTTCATTACTTGCTATTATCAATCTCCTGTTGCAGATAGGCCTAGCTCATACAACCTTTATCTCATTGTTCATCATGGCTGCTGGTTTTGATAGTGCAGCAACTGAAGCAAGGGAGTAACTGTGATATGATTTGGTATTTGGTCCTCCAACAGATTTGGTATTCTTGATGATGTCCAGGTTAAGGAATCATACACCGCCGAGGTTCTTTAGGGATGGATGACCACTTTGAATCATGGCCATGCAAGTAAGTTATTGTACTTCTTGGTTTGGGATGAGTGTAGGCTGCATGTATCTTCAGACTAGAAGTATTATACTTCGAAATACAGCGTGTTTGTTACCCCCTTCATTTGTTTACTAAGAAAGTTCATCTTTGTGGCCAATGAGTAATATCCTTTGCCATATAGATTAGAGTTTGCAAGATAATTGGCAGAAATGCCAGCATGTTTGGTATCTTCTTCGTGGGACACGCTTCAGCAACATGCTGCACAATGCTCTGCAATATCCTTTCTAATGCTGGTTTCCTCTTCCAACACCGATAAGGTCATCACACACCGGTTGCCCGGTAGGTAAGAGCGGCGACAGAGGTTAATTTGTTAGAGTTCAGGACACTGTAACTTAGAATTTAAACAGATTCGCCCTAACAAACTCCCCTAAGTATAATTCTCTAGCATCTCGTGAGCATACACAATTTCCTGAGCAGGCGACGGCAATGTGATTTGCACACCACCAACACCCAAACCCAGTAACCCACGGCACACATACCAGCAACAGAAAAAGTCGGCTAAATGCCAAAAAAGCAAACAACAAAAGTAAAAATTGTAACCAGACACATATAGCGACTTGTGGTCCAACGAATCAGGCTTTTAATTTCCACTAGAGCTCCAACAGCGTTCCACCTTATGAAGCTCAGGCAACAAGTCGTTACGGCCATGATCAGGAGACTGACTTGTTCGTTGAAGGCCTCATATTCCCTCTACAAGAACCTTGTTCACATCCGGAAAGGCATCATTACATTAGGTTAGGGATTAAAAAGGATGGGAAAAGTTGTAGAAGTACTTACCCTAGTTGCCAACTTACCGTCCGTCAAAACTGGACATATGTCGCACCCGTAAATAACTGGAACGTTAACAGGAAACAGAATCACGTTTAACAATCTCCGGTACAATCTATCCATACATTACATCCGTCAAAGCTGGACATATGTTGCACCCGTAAATAACTGGAGCGTTAACAGGAAACAAAATCACGTTTAACAATCTCCAGTACAATCTATCCATACATTACATGTATTCTCTTTCGGTTTTCTTCAATTAATGGCAGCTAACACTTACATATGCGAGCAACCGAATCAAGTGCACCAAGCAAATATGATCCATCTGGCCTACCTACCAAACAAAACATCAAAACCATGATATTAACTTAACCTCATAAACATCCATCATCAAGCTAGCTATAGACCATACTATATTAGCCAGGGGTCGACATTGGAACAATATATTCAACCCTTCACTTCACAGAAGAAACACACAAACAAACACATGCAAAAAAGAAGTAAGACAGCAGCTAGCATCACTCACGGGAGCCAAACAACAAGACAACTCAACAAACAACCACACACACTCACCACCACCAACAAAAGCAGGGCACTCTGCCTTAGCCTTATTCTATTCCTCTCTTCTTCTTCTTCCACTTTTCTTCCCCTCTTCTCTTTTTCTGCTCTCTGCCCTCCTCTCCTCTGTGGCCCAAATGCTATAGTGGGGGCAGCACAAAACCGCCCGTGAACTCTCTCATATCATCATCTCACATTCTCACTCTCTTCTTCCTTAACTTCCTTGTCCTCTTCAAGCTCAATGTCACTTTCCACCAATAACCTCCCAGAAAAAGGTACCCTCTCTCCTTCCATATATACACACACACACACTCATAACAATAACAGAGGCCATGTTGGTCCATAGACTTGCTTCATTGAGTTTCCTACAATGTCACTCTTCCCTAATTCCATGTTTCTTCTCATACTCCTGCTGCTGAATTCAGGGCAAACTGCATTCTGTCACACCAAAGGGCTGAGACCAGGAAACTCAATTGGGAACCAACAGGTTCCGCCTCCTCCCGTGAATTCCACAAGGACCCAATTCTCAGAACAGCAGTTCCTCAAGTGGGTCAAGTTTGTTGGAAGCTTAAAGCACTCTGTCTTCAGAGCAGCAAAGAACAAGCTCTTCCCTTCCTTCACCATCACCGTCGACAGGAACCCGGCCGCCGGGGACTTCACCTCCATTCAGGACGCCGTCGATTCCCTCCCTTTCATCAACATCGTCCGGGTCGTGATCAAGGTCCATGCAGGAGTTTACACGTTAGTTCCCCCCATTTCCTCTGTGTGTTTTTTTTTCCTTGAAGAGAAAAATAGTATTATAATAATGAATAAGGTTGTTGATCCGTGGTGAATTTTGTCCCACATTGTGTTGTGATCTCCCCAATTGGAGTGGGAATGTGGGATAGTGATCTCCCCAATGGGGTTCTTAACTTTCTCACAAAAAGCTTAACACCAATCTTGTTTTTATGTATGGAGTTGCAGAGAGAAGGTGAGCATACCGCCATTGAAGTCATTCATAACGATAGAAGGTGCTGGGGCGGAGAAGACAATAGTACAATGGGGGGACACAGCCAAAACCCCCGGCCCAAGAGGACACCCAATGGGCACCTACGCTTCCGCCACGTTTGCCGTCAATTCCCCCTTCTTCATAGCCAAGAACATCACTTTCAAGGTACTTTCACCACCATACTCCCCTGTTTTTCTCCTCTGTTTTCTCAAAACCCAATTGGAGTTGGTTTGGTGATGGGGTGGCAGAATACGACGCCGGTTCCAGCGCCGGGAGCCGCGGGGAAGCAGGCGGTGGCGTTCAGGATATCGGCGGACACGGCGGCATTCCTGGGGTGCAGATTCCTGGGAGCGCAAGACACTCTGTATGATCAATTGGGGAGGCATTACTACAAAGACTGCTACATTGAAGGGTCCGTCGATTTCATATTCGGCAACGGATTGTCCCTATTCGAGGTAATTAATTAAAACCCACCTTTGATTAGTAGAATCGAATGATTGTTCCTGATTGAAACGGAAGAAGAAGGAAGGAAGAAAGAAGGGAGTGATTGAGATGATGGTGATGAAAAACAGGGGTGTCAGGTTCATGCAGTAGCGCAGTATACAGGGGCGCTAACGGCGCAAGGGAGGAGCAGCCTGTTGCAGGATACAGGGTTCTCGTTCGTCAACTGTAAGGTCACGGGGTCGGGTGCCCTCTATTTGGGGAGGGCTTGGGGTCCTTTCTCGAGGGTCGTTTTTGCCTACACTTACATGGACAACATCATCATCCCCAAAGGCTGGTACAATTGGGGAGACCCTACTCGAGAATTGTACGTCTCTCTCTCTCTCTCTCTCTCTCTCTCTCTCAACTTCATCATCCCTTCTCATATTTTTCTCATTTCTAAAGGCTTAAAACCTTTGTTGGTATCGAACCGAAAATCATTAGAAATCGAAATTCAAATTAATCAATTGTTCAAAATTGAAATCATGAGTGGATTTAGTTTTGATCAGAATAAATAAAAAATAAACCGTTAAAAGCTTATCAATTTTTATCTGTTAAGGGAAACTGATAAGGTTAGAAAACAGGTTCAGTGTCGGTTAAAACTGAACCGCCATCCCTAAGGATGATGCACACACAAGCATACTTACGAACTTGTAGTCCAACAATATCATGACTGGAGTGCAACTTAGTGATGATGTGCTTGCTATTAAATGCACTTGTTGTTTCTCTTTCCCTATCTCATTCATTCCACCATGCACTCCCTATTTCGTATGAATCAAATGATGTCAACCCTCTACAATAACCTCACACATACTAACGACGACAAATGCACTATTACGCATTACGACGATAATGTATTGTACACCTAAACCAATCATACAAAGAATAACCTACCTTTCTATTCGTCACTTACAAAAGCTTAGTGGGAATACAGGTAGTGTCCTTACCTAACTAGACAGTGGTGGAGCTACGTATAGTACAAGAGGAGTTGCAGTCCCCTCAATTTATTCTTTATCCAACGGTATAATATGCATTCATATCTTCATAAAACATTAGACCGTGATAGAATATATATGACAATTAGTCCCCCTCCTCCAAAATTTAGGTTCAGTTGAGAGAAAGTGTTGCAACTTCAACACCCTTTTTCCCATATCCTGATCAATCAATCATGTTGCCCCTTATTTCCCTTAGCTCTCTCAAAAAGAAGTGGCCATCTACCGGTCTAGGACCATGAAAGTGTGTGTGTGTGTTTCTGTACTATATACTTGCCTGCTCTTGTGAATGCCTCTTTTGGGGATCCAATCCATCATATTCATACCCGTGCAAGTGCAGCACTACCGCCCCACGACCTCCAAAACAGAACAGAGCTTCCTTTTTCTTAGCCCATCATCTGCCTACCTAACCTAACTGCAGATAGCAACTATTTAATTCTTTCTCTGGGTGGCAACTTGCAGAATTTGCAATATACCGTACCAACTGCCAACAGCACTAAGTAATTAGCAAGCATGCGTGAGATTCTGATTCTGATTCTGCTCACTCTGTTTTTTCTCTCTCCTTTTTTCTCCTTTGGCGCTGGTGTTTTGCAGGACTGTTTTCTATGGGCAATACAAGTGTAGAGGGCCCGGAGCTAGTTTCGCCGGCAGGGTGGCTTGGTCCAGAGAGCTCACCGACGAAGAAGCTAAGCCTTTTCTTTCGCTTAGCTTCGTCGACGGCTCCGAATGGATCAAATTGGAAATATGATAAGAGTTTTGGGTCCTTTTGGATATTTTTTCACTCCCTAGTATGATAGTTGTAATTTTTTGTTTTACTCAAGTATATTTCTTCTGTATTCCCCTTTAGCTTTGTAAAAAGGAAAGCTAGGTTCTTAGTTTTGCCCATTTAGGGCCTTTTTTAGGATTTAGTAGTGGGGATAATATTTACTTAAAGTGGGGATAAGTACTCTTATCAGGATCCATTTCCTAATGATTATAATAAATGCTAATGGCAAGAAATAAAAAGGTTGGATAATTGTTGATGGCAAGGTTTGAGTTTAGGGTGCACATTTTTTCTTTTATGAAAATGGGTGCAAATGGTGTCAAATAAAGCCCAACAAATTTGAGATGAGCTAATAACATGAAAACCAAGGGGTAAGGAGTGTCCCTTGTGAGCAAGACAGTCTACCAACAAGCTAGCTTCCCGTTAAATATGGGTAAGGCAAACCTCCCACTCTCGATATAAAAGATTTTGGGCATTGCCAAAGTAAGGTTGGCATGTTGGTTGTTATGATGGTCGTCGTCCTGTATGAGTGAACGCGTTGTTCTGGTGACAATGAGCATCTCAACTTGATGATGCACGGTCTCTCATGCTAGCTCAAGGTCCTTCATTGTCCCCCAAAATTCTGCACGAGTAGTGGAATATTTTTCCAGGTATATTGTATAGGTCCCTAACAAGCGATCATGTCAGCGTCTAAGAGAATATAATTACGAGATTTCAATATGAGCGAACCGTATCAAACATTCCTCTCACTTTTTTGGTGGAAGTTTCATTAGTTTATCTTAATTTCAACGAAGTACAACAAATGGATAGATCATTTAGAAAAATGAGACATTCCAAATATAACGGGCCAGATCAACTGTAATCTACATCTACAAGAATATTGATAGCTAGTTATTGTAACTTCCACCCCATTCAATTTTTTTTTCAACAAGAGTGAAAGTAGGAATGGTATCCTTGTCTTCAAATTGATCTATTTGTTTCCCATTTATTCCTAAGAAAAAGAAGACATACTAGGATTTGAACCATCCCATTTATTCCTAAGAAAAAGAAGACATATTAGGATTTGAACCATGGTCATTTTCAACATTGACAAACATATTAACCAATAAGACTACATAAATTAGTTGTATCATTTTAAATAAATTATATACATGAAGCTAAAATTAAAAAATCACAAAACTTTTCAACAGTTAGCTAAGGTCACTAAATCTTCCCTCGGTACTAATTGATGTTTGATACTTCGATTTTCATATTAATTATTTTAATTATATTTTGATACTTAATTTATATTTCTATTTATCTTATAAATAGAGGATAACTTTAAAGTCATATAACAAATATCATTGGTTCAATATTACATATCGAATTCGTATAAGCGATGTTGAACTCTTACATCAGTATTAGTTTATAGAACTACTATGAGACAATCATATTCATGTCTTTCTACAAACTATATGGAGGTGGGTTCTTTGAACTTTGTAGCTCGGCTAATCGTTAAGTTTTAAACATCTTCCTAATCCGAGAGACAGTATTGGAACCAACAATCATTAGACGAGGTTGACTTTAATAGGTTGGTTTATTTCATCTTTTTTATTTATTAAAATGAATTTTTAGAGACATATACTGATAGACCGTTAATTACACATGTTTTTACCCCTGTTCTTACACCGTTTGAGATGTGGTTTATCGTGTTTTAGGCCTATTTCACACTAGGTTGTGCTTGTTTGTGATATTTCAGGTCCTAGTACGTGAATGGAGGCTTGGGAGCGAGTTTGGGGTCGATTGGACGAAGATCGGACGCGTGGCGAGGTGCTAAGGAAGCCGCACAGGCATTCCTGGACATCACACGTCCGTGCACCTCACATTTGTGGCCGTGTGATTTTCGCCGAGAGCAAACACGGGCAGAGCAAAATTCCCACACGGCCGTGTGACCCTGGCCGTGTGGGAAGCCTGAAGTTCGACTTAATTGATACGCCGCGTTTTGACTCACACGGGCAACTGAGTGAGCCACACGACCGTGTGGCCTGCCCGTGTGAGTCGGGAAATCTTGGTTTTTCACCCAATTCCGAGCCACAAGTGAGAGAATCGGATTTTCAGAGCAAAACCAGAGCCCTAGAGAGAGAAAGTGCGAAGAACACATCCTAGAAGCTATCTTGGAGCTGGGTTTCATCAAATCGAGCTTGGAGATCGTCATAGGAGTGGAAATCATCATCCCGGAGCAGATTTTCCTCATCTTTATGAGTATGACTACTCTGATTACTGTTTTCTTCTCTCTCTCTATGGAGTAGAACCTTCTCTCACTTGGGTATGAAGAACCCTAGTTCCTTGTGTTAGAGATTTGATTGTAATGACTTGGGATGATTATACTGTTTGATTTTAATCGAATGATGCATGTTTATTGAATGGATTGAAGTCTGATAAGCTTTTCTTGATTTCTGCTGCAACCTGAGATAGATAGAATCTGATTAGGTTGTTAGAGCCTCTTCATTCGATAGTAGGAGATTGGTTATACGAGAGTTAGCCAGTTTACTGCTTTGTACTGGAATCCAATTCCAGTAGTGGAGTTCTGTGCTCATTGCCTCAGCTTTCTATCCCGGTGAAGACTAGTCGTCTGTCGGGTAGTTAGACTGAGAGGGCTTGGTCAGCTTAAGAGATTCCAAGCTACTGTCGGATCTTCCGCAGTCTAATCAACAGTGAATCAACCCAGGGTAATTACAATTGAACCTAACTAGGGAGCTAGGGGGACTCATTCCCGAGTGACTCTTTCCTGCTTTTGAAAACCGAACCATTTCCTGCTTTCTTACTGCTTTTGCTTTAAACAACAATCACTCAACTTAGTTGGCTAGATAATAGATAATCGCGGAGTAAGCAGTAGATCTAGACCCCGGGTTGATAATAGAACTTGCCTGTTATTGCATTCCCGGACTGCGATTACCCTTGGTCGCAGTTTGGTGTTGTGTTTTGGCGTGTCATTTACACTCTACACAATATATACTACTGGCATGATAAATTTTCGTCTCATTTCAAATTTCCTACAATGAGAGAAAAAAAAATGAATGACACTTTTGTCTTCGCCATTATTGATCTTTATTTTGTATAGAAAATAGACAAGTATTGTGATTTCAACTAATGTGTCTTCAAACACAGATAAGAGTCATAACCATGATAGTCATTTCAAGTTTCACTCTACTGGTCGAACCAATTCTACCTAAACCTGAGTATCTCAGCGGGTGCCGAAGGCCCAGTTGGTTGTCTACTCAGGCTCGATCAAACCCATGAAACCCCAATAATATCAAAAAATCCGACCGATTGAACCAACTGATTTGAGCACCGTGCCACTCCAAAACGATGGTGTTTTTAACAATTTGTATACGGAACTACGTTGTCATATCATCCTTTTATTTATCACAAAACACTAAAACTTGGAACATCACAGACCAAGTTCGACTATCTCATAGTCTCTTCTTCTTGCTTTAGATTCGAGAGCCTATAAAGACCCAACCATCTCAAAAACCATCATAATCCCGCAATAGTAAATTTCATTTTTTTTTCCAGCTGCACAATCATAGAGCTAGTTGACCTCATCTCATACAAATAAGAAGCAAAAATTATTAGAGGAACATGCATTTGAGTTGAAACTTGGTGTGATTAACAAAGGCCAAATTCCTTATTTTAACTATTGTTTAATGTTATGAAAATATTATTATTATTATGGATGACCAACATTAGATGCTCCATGGTATGTTACAGGTTCTATGTAACTCATCTCCTTATATTTATTTCTTCACATGACACATTAGATGCACAATTGGGTGTTACATGTAACCCCCCACCCCATTTCTATTTCACATTCATTCTCACATTCATGTATATTAATTGTAAGAATGTAGAGGTTATGTGATGTGTGCCTATAAATAGATGATCTCCTTATACTAAGGAACACATGAATAAGAAAGCTCTATCCCCCCTCTCTTCTTGTGTCTCTACTCTTACTCATGTGTATGTTCCTCTTCCTTGTTATTTCATAACATTTAATACTTAATTAAATTCTTATATATCTTATAAATAGAGGATAACTTTAAAATTGCGGCTCACATATCATTGGCTTGAATATTCCATATCGAATTGAAGTGTTGAATATGTAGAAGTGATGTATAATTTTTAAATTAGTATTAAGTTTTAGACCTACTATAAAACAATCGTATTCATATCTTTGTGTAAACTATATGGGATTGGTTCTTTGAACATTGTAGTTCAACTAACCGTCAAATTCTAAACCTCTTCCTATTCTGACATGATTGGATCCAACAATCATTACGAGTTTAATAAGTTGACTCATTTCACCCTTTTTAAATGTGCTAATGAATTTGTAGTGAAAGTACATGTCTTTATCTACACTCTACACAATATGTAATACTAAATGAGAAAATTGTTGTCTCGTTTAAAATTTCCTACAACGAGAGCGAAAGTATGAATGATATTTTTGCTTCACAATTCTTTTACAGAAACTACCAACTTCTAACCTAGAAATCGTAGTTCCAACTAAAAATCAAAACATCAAAAATCAAACTTCATAAATTTTATTTCATATATCACTTATTTGAGAGATTTTTCTCTCTATAAACAAAGTAAAATGAAACAAGTTATAGCAAAATCAACAGCTTTGGCTCGAAGACGATGATCTGCTTGTTCGTGAGAGAAAAGAATACTTGTGGTGGTGTCATAGATCTGGAGAGCAAAGATGAAAAGGATACATGCGGCATGAAATCTAGAAAGTTGTTGAAGATTTAGATGCACGGTAAAAAAATCTTCCTACTAGATTCACCACGAGTTCTTGAATGGGGATTGACAAATAGATCATCAAATCACGGGTTTGGACTACATAAAAGGATAGGAGGTTAGTTAGATGGCCGGTGATGTAGAATTTGCCAATTTGGTATATCTACAAGAGATCTCTAACGTCGACTTAGGAAACAAAGAATCGAAGGGGAAGAAGAAGATATAGACTCTTTTATTAACAACTAGTTGATTGCATGGGGGTAGATAAACAATGTTCATTTCTCTTTTCCTTTTTACTAAAAGAATACTAAAAACTTCTATAAAAACTAAAAATAGTATCGTAAATTTTGTTGGTTTTCTATGCAGCTTTTGAAGCCTATTCCTTTTCGGGCCTAATAAGATTATTTAAAGCTATCATTCTACTAAAATAATTTTTTTTTTATTTTTTTCGCTCCATTGTTGTAATATTTTGACCAACATGTTAGTA